AAGATACAAATATGTTGATAAATTAGACACCAAAATTTTCAGTTCATTTAATTAAAACAAAGATGCTATAATTTGATTGCTATCATGCACAACATAATAATGATTCATTATTGTCATTATTATAACTGTGTATATTTATAAAATGCAACACCAGAAAGAAAGAGTAACGAAATCAACATTAATAAAATTATTTGGCGCGATATTACGTTTCAATATTATTCTTATACGTTACACTGAAATTTTAGTAAACTATAACAGGAAGATAGATAAGCAATATTTTACGTAGTATGTTTATGTAAATTTTCAACGAGCTGCAAATATTCGAAAAGTTTAAAATTTATGAAATGCTCCTTCATAAACAACCATAACATAAATTACACTAACGGAGAGTTATCGTACTAGACTCGCTAGAGGTAAAAATAATATACAGGAGCGRTAAATCAAGTGGAATSTAAAGAACAGTAAATAAAATAAGTAATTTGTATATAACAAAACCAAAGTGTAAAATAATACCTTTTTGTAATAGTTACACATATCACATTAACAATATGTAATTTGTAATTTCCTTCATAGTATTTTAAAAGAAATATAAAACCATAGAAAGACCTCATGGAATATTTAAAACCAAATGTATGCACAAAAGCATATTTTACAATACTTTAGGTAAATAATATATGGTTATAATGGAATATGTTTAACAAAAAACTATTCACTTACCCATAAACCTTTTTTAAAGAAAACAAATTAAAATTTATGTAATAAAATTTCAGTGTACTGAATTTTTTTAATTATTTCCCAATCTCTTCAAGTCTTTATAGCAAAATTATATTACCTAATATCCCAAATGATGATCCCTTTCTGTGCCGGATGCTGCGGATCTCCCTGAGGCGAATACGTCACCAAATACTTCTCGCACGGCGAAAAATCAATAAATTGTGCATTCGCATGGGCATACCTTTTGTATTGAGTAAACTTCTGACCCACCCATAATGCGATGCCTTGCTTATGAAAAGTGGCTAAATAMGTACCCAATGGAGACCATTTAATATAAGCATGTGTCCAAGCCTGTACAAAAAGCGTAAAATGAATTAAAAACCAAAATCAAAAGATCATAAAATTACATGTCTCTCCTCCAGTAAAGAAGGGTCAGGTTGCGTATTTTGCCATATTTGAACAGACTGTCCTTGTCCCAAGACAACCGCAAACTGATCATAAGCATCAGGTTCAAGCAAATAATGGTGCACGTCACCCTGACCTTCGTAGGGCTGCGGCTTAGGGGGGTCCCACTCTTCCGGTATCGATTCATATTTACTAAAGTCAGTAAAGAGGTTGACTTGAAAAGTGTGTTGCTTATCAAGCTTGAAATTATTGGTCAGCTTCACGGCTTCAGCTGCATTGACTGGTGAAGAGTATTCTAAGAAAATGTAGCCCTTGGTGTGTCCATTTTCGTTGACTGGATAGTATTCATTGACTATAGTTCCAAATTTGACGAAAATTTTATTAATAACGGACTTCAATTTCTCGATACGGTCAGGTCCAACTTGTGGGACACCATCGACGACAATCACGCTCTCAACCCCATCAGTCTCCTTCGGTTTTTGATTCAAAATGTCACCCAAGAGCTCTGAAACGAAAATGAAAGTGATCCTAACCTTACTTTCCCGACAGGCATATGTTGCCACTTCAGCGATTTACTTTTGCCAAAATCGCTAAAACTCGACCCACATTCACTAAATACAAAGACAATTCGTTGTTTACTTCGTTAGTTTTTTGWAAAATGCGAGWTGAAATTGAAGTGACAGCATGGTTATGGGTGCATTTTCAATGTGTGTTTCTGAGGAAATACCTTCATCGGTGATGTTGTCGATGTATCCCTCTGGATCGCTGAAGTTTGGTTCATCATCGTTGGACGACAAATCGCTTTCATTCTTCGTATTATTCCCGTTTAGGGTGTTTTTGTCGTCGACTTTCTTTTTCGCCATTTTGACACGCGTGAGGGTCGACCGGTAAAGAAGKGCGCGCGAGAAATTCAAATGACAGTTTAACAAGGCGCCAAAAACAAATTTCGTAGAATTCATAAGTTATTTTAATATTAAGAGATTAATTTATTTTTATATCTAAATATCGTGATGTGTATTCTGCATAAAAATTAATTTTTGATACAAACAGTGGTATTTTGTTAAATTAAAATAAAAACTTACCATTTTTCCGTTCATTAKAGGCAAGGACTTTGGTTCTGTAAAAACAAGTCCCAGTATATGCTAATGTATTYGCTAATTAATTAAACTAAAATAAATATTTTAGAATTATTGTAAGGACTGTTGTGAGAGTTCTAATTGGACGGTATGAGGTTGACCATTATAATAATGTAAAAAAATCATTCATTTATTTTATTCACAATCACTAATGTAATATGCCAATTACTAACCTTTTAAAGGTTGGGAAACACGTCATTATATSTCATCAGGAGTAATAATATTACTTCTCTTGRKTGATAATATGYAGGAGAACCAACGTTAGAATTACAAAAATACCGGGAATTTTTTCTTTCAAATTGTCAAGTTACGCATAATATTTTGCTAACATAGTATTCAATTGCTTCTGTAGCAGTTTTTATTACTTCTGAGGGAGCGCACTACTCTATTTCAACAATTTTAATATCAGATTTWCRCATTATGTCAATATTTTTTTGACATTTCTGAAATGTTAAAACTCAAACGTAAATTTASATGGCCTACCACGTTTGAACCTTAACCTTGTTAGAATTTTATTTTGTTCATTATWTTTAGCTAAAAATAATGTGATTGTGAATAACAGTACATTACAAGCRAGGTGGTAAATATGGCATTACYCCGATGAGTGCTTWTGTCTAYGATCGAGAGGCGCTAGCCTCGAGATCGGATAAAGCACAAGGGCTAATGCCATTATTATTACCACCGATGTTTGTAAACTATTTTATTCACAATCACTAATGTAATTTGCTGATTACTAACCTTTTAAAGCTTGGGAAAYACATAATTAAATCTCATGAACAGTACCTAACATTATTTCATCTCTTGGGTGGTAATATRCAGGTTTGCCAACGTTGAAATTAGAAAAATACCGRAATTTTTTTTTTCAAATTGTTAAGTTAGGCACAAWATTTTRCTAAATTAAAATTCAATTACTTCTGTAGCAGTTTCTCTTACTTCTGGGGGAGTACACATTTCCAAAATGTSAAAAATCAATCCAGTAATTTGGATKGCTTWCCACGTTTAGGTCTTAACTTGGTTAGAATTCTATTTTATTCAAATTTTTGACTAAAAATGATGTGATTGYGAATAAAATAGTATACAAWCCTCGGTGRTATTGGCATTACCAATTGTGCTTWAGCACTCGGGGTAATGCCAAATTTACAACCTTTTGTAATGTACTATTACCTTTCATTAAACAAAAATAATTGTAWTTTTTTTTATCAGGTCACAGTTTTTTGTTACGAACCATAATCTTTCTGCTTTCTGCACAAATGCCTCCGATTTAAAAGGTGTRTCTAAATGGGTTTTGASTCGCGTTTGGACTTCTTTTCTAAAAACTTTAAAAACTTAAAACAAGCATGTGTGATGAACAGGACGATCGTTTTCATTAAGATCGCCCCAAAAGTTTTTGGGATGAAAGTTGGACTAAAACTGATCCAAAAAAATAAAAAAAACAAAGCAAATTAAACTCATTTTTAATTTGTTGTTTGGCAATTTTTATATTTTTGTTAATTACATATTGCTTAAACGTGACGTGGTGGACCTTTTTAAAAATCTATAAAAACTAAAACTTTACGCTAAGGTATAGAAATCGTGTAAACTAGTGTTATTTTCATCATTTAGACCTGGCAGAAATAACCGTTTGTGTCATTTTTAATAACAATTTTAAGAAATTTATACTGAAATTAGTCAAATAGGTGTAATACTTTTGGTTAAAGATAAACATAAACATAAACTTGCACTTGGTGTCACAATGGAGTCCTTTTATTATAATCAATAATACTTAAGTCTGTGTTAGTTATTGAAAACTAATTTATAAAAAATGATTATTTATTTTAATGCAACCAGTAATACACTGCAGAAAAAGAAACCTATTTTTTTACTTAATTCTTTTTCCTAATAAATCCAAACATCAGAGGTTTTCCTACTATATTTCAATAGTAAGTAATAATTTTAATTAAAATTGCTTATACATAAACATATCATTTTGGGCACTGCATTTTATAGAAGCTATCATAAATGCAAATTGCACTTCTTATTGTGAATTAAAAGGTCAACAAGCTTTATCATCAATAAACCTTTAGTCATGATAAAACCACTTCCATATTACAATATTTGTAACATTTCTTAAGTTTTTTATGACTATATTARCTTCCTTGTCACGAAACCCTTGTAACTCAACAAAAAAGCGTATGTACCAAAATAGAAACATTTTACAGTGAATTAGTAATTAATAGTAATTATGTTCCTAAGATCTTTTACTGCGTACTAATGTTATCGATTAAATGACATAATCCCTTTGTATTAATAAATTAATTAGTTTTTTATGGGTATTATTGTGAATATTGGGAGTAATAATTAAAGTGCGTCGACCTTAGACGCACAAAATCTTCACTTTTTCGTTTCCAGTTTGTAAATTTAAATTAGAAAGAACAAACCAACCCTAAATCAATTCCTGCTTCATTCCCCCTACAAAAGTTCCTTGACCCCAATCCTGCATTKAACAAAATTGTCATATTTTAAGGAGCGGCCAGCACCATTGCTCATTGCATAATAAAATGGAAATTGTCTTTTTCTTTACCAAACACACTCAAACCAACATTAACTACTGCTAAATTTTGGCCTAATTGTTGAGATGAAGCGTTTATATCGCGTGGTGACCCTTTCGACGGTCATGGGTTGCCCCATCACAGGTAAATTAATGCGCTGCTCAGGCTAGCATGAAATGTCGATTGTAACTCTGTCCATGTAGGTGTGTTGTGGTTTAAGAAATAGGTGGGATAGAGTCAAACTTGAAGCTCCTTTATATTTCTTCAACCTGTTCTGTATTGACCATAAAGTGAAGCGATTCGCGCTCCGTGTTTTAATCCGGGCGGTGGTGATAAAAACGTAACTTTTAGTGTTATCATCGGCCACTGAAATGTAAGTAATGAATTGATTGCATTTTTTCCAATTTTGCATGAATTGCAATCGCATGCGAAATAATTGCACACGCCTCCGGATTGTTAAGTCAGAATTATTTTTAAAACCGGTGTCAGTGTTAACAACATTTTTCATTTTCCGTCAAAAATCAACTTCGACTTTTACTTCTTCTGGATGGATTTCTTTTTTTTTTTCTTGATGACGTTTCGCAGTTGTGTAAGTGTTGAAGAATGATGAGAGTTAATCTTGACTAGAAAACGKTTTTTTTTTCAAAACAAGTCACGTGAYTGCAACCGAATTACAATAGGTTCTAATCACTTTTGGCCAAGTAAAATTCCTAGAAAGTTGAACGCTTTTTTGAAWTTTTTTGCCGCTTTAACCGAAATTTCCGCAAGTTCATTCAACCAAGATTTGGCGGTTTTAAGTTCGTTGGGTACTGGAATAATCGCATACCTTTAACAGCCTTATTAGCATATCTGTGGACGAAATACAACTTAACGAACTTTTGGGAGTAATCAATAAAATTGAATTAATATTAGATGTGAGGTCAGTATCTTTTACAGAATTCTTATTAGGAGAGGTGAAGGTAATGTTTATTTTGGTTGATGTTTTCACCTCTCATTTACATCAATTAATTATGTTCTTATTAGCATTTTTTATGAAACTCTTTTTCATAGTTGGATTTTGTGAAAATTAGGTGGTTGCATGGTGCAGATTCTTTGTTGACACAGATTTTTTAATTTTTATAATAATTATTTTGATCTTGTAAACTTTTTACCTTTATTGTTTTGTTAGTTTTATGCTTTTTATGTCCTTGTACAGAGTAATCTCATTTATGTTGTTTTTTTCTTGATATAGTTAATGAACAATAGTTTTAACGGTGTTTTGCTACTTTACTCTAAAAGTTATTGCAGTTTTAAAGTCACACTCATGACTGTACTGTGTTTATGGTTTCAGAYTAATTCAGTTTGGAACAAATTTTTAGAAAACCAGAACTAAAGATTAGATTAGTTAGCGTTTTGTTTTAATTATTGTRTTCAACGTTTTTTTAAAAATTATTCTAAGAATATTTTAATAAAAGAGCCTTGAAGTTTGAGCAAATATTTGCTCGATATAGGTATGCAATTTTATTTTTTGGGTGTTTATTTTACAGCAATTATAAAACTTAAGAATAATAACCAATTACAATACCCCGTGTCTAATGGCGCTGAACAAGTTTCTAATTTTCCAAGTTACGACATTTTCGTTTGTTAATAATTTGAAGAATGACAGGACAGTTTAAAAAACAATAAATAATAACTATATCCACTAATAACYGTTTTCGCCAGATTTATTAATGTATTTGCCATTTTAATATTTAGAAAGTTTTTTWTTTGGTGAACACAACACAATTTAACCACTTAACCCAACACACCAAACTTTTATTTAAAACACAATGCGTTTCAACTACAAAGTGATCATCCTGTCTATCTTGTGGGTTTGAGATCTATAGTGAAACACACTGTTAAAAAAAATACTTAATTTTGGTTTTATTGGTCTAAATAGTTAACTTAAAAAATATTTAAACCGAATTAACTTTTCTTCTTATTCCATAAGTTCCCGGATTGAGTTTACAAGAGGAAAATTTTTTTATATTTGATTTTACGCCAAAACTGTAAAGGAAAAAAAGTTTTAACTTTACTTGAAACCAGCAAATCTGTAATTAAAACTTCATTGTTCCAACTCAGTAGAATAATTTTTCTCTGCTTTTTAAGTCTTATCACATTGTTTTAATTATTTGACAACTATATGTCACTTTGACAATTAATTTATATTAATTAAATAATGATAGTTTTTTTCAAATAATGACTGGTTTTTACCTTAAAGTTGTTCCTTTGAGCTGCTGTTTATTAAAATTATGTTTTTCACAAACATTTTTGTTATTTAACATCCGTAAACTCATTTGTCAAAATGTTGTCAAAATATGACTTTAAAAGCAGAGAAAAATTAAGTCCAAAATCAATAGAAAAATGAATTTTTCTACTACTGAGGTAGAATAATGAAGTTTTAATTACAGATTTGATCATTGTCAAAATAATAAAACCRCCAATGTGATAGGACTTAAAAAGCAGAGAAAAATTATTCTTAAATCCAAAATCAAGAGAAAAATGAATTTTTCTTTCTACTGAGTTGGAATAATGAAGTTTTAATTACAGATTTGCTGGCTTCAAGTAAATCAAAAAGTTTTTTTCCTATGCAGTTKTGATAAAAAAAATTTCCTCTTGTAAACTCAATCCGGGGACATACTGTATGTACATTTATTTCATATACTTAGTATTGATAAGATACAGATGCATGTATTCAAACGTAAACCGTTACAAAGACGCTTTGTTAAAAAGTTCCCACGTTTTGCCAAACATGTTTAGCGTTTTTTGAACTTGCTAGGTATTTTACTAAAAGTTTAACAAAATTCGGTTAGGTTATGTTTCACTTAAATATTAGTTTTACTTCTTGCTTGAAATATTCAAATTCGAAGAAATTGGAATTATTTAATAAATGAAATGAAATGAAATTTGCAATAGCCAACTTAGCTACATTTTTGAATTAAACTATTTGAGTCGAAAGTGAATGATTTCTCCATGGTTACTCACACCAAATCAAACGGACCAGTCMTATCAATGCCTTAAATTATTGAATGAATTCAAAAGTCAAAAGTGATTGATTTTTTACATTAATTTAATGGCCGACCTTAAACGGCCTAATCACAATGTTAACAATTTTTATACACTGTGTCAATTTTAAAACTTGCAATCGGCAATTTCTCTCAACTGAAAAAGTTATTAATAATCACTCAAAATCGTTTTGGTGGTTCCTAGGGGGAATTAAAATGACATGATAAGTGACACACTTCCACTTGAATATAATAAAAAAATGAAAATTTAACGTCTTCATTATGAATAATTGGAAAAATGGCTTTACCAAATAGGCTGTTGTATGGCATTTTTGAAAAGCGCTTGTTATGGGCTTTCCAACGATGTATCGCAAGTAGGGTTGTGCCATTTAAAATTTTCAACWTAAGGTGGCTGTGGCTTGAAGGGTGGGTGGAGGAGYGTCACTTACCATGCCATTTTTATTTCCCCTAAAAACCACTGAAACGGTTTTGAGTGATTGCAAGTTTTAAAATTGACACCCTGTATATAATAGTTTTCTTAGAGGGTGKTATACCTAGAAATATTTCAAAAAACTATTTGAGATACAAAAAAAACTTGTGTAAACCATGTAGATGTTCAATGGACGCCCATCAAAAGCATCCATATCTAGATCCATATGTATGTCCAAYTTTGTGACACAGTGGGCCTAAATTGGACCAAGTATGTCCACTAATGGACGTCCATTGGACACATTAACATACAGAGACGGGTATCCACTGGACATCCAGTTGTAGAARATTTTATAAGCTTTAATTTTGTACAAAATTTTGTTCGTAATTTTGTTTAGGATATACGTAGAGAAGCARAAACGCATAAAACGGCACTTTTTTGATGCTCCATTGAGCTCCGCTTACCTCGGAGAACCGGGGACCTTATAAGTATGTTTTCTAATTCTAATTCTAATGCGCAAAGCATTTTTTTCCAAATTTTAATTTTAATCAGTTATGTTTTAAAATTAAAATAYCTAATGTAAATATGTAATTTTTACTTTCAGTTAAAAGAATAATTACTGTAACTTAAAATTTCGCCTTATACGCTCTACTAAAAATATCTCTATATTAATTAAACTAGCTTGCACTCGTGACTTTGTCCACGTAGATTTSTTAATGTAAAAAAGGGAATGTAAAGTTAGTCTGTTTATCTATTTTTTTTTTGATTCACCAACTCAAATCAACGCGGTAGCAGAGAGCCGATTATTAAGAAAATATCGAAAGCACAAACGTTTACACCCTATTTCACCTTGTTAATGGTTGATTTTCAAAAAGTGTCTTCTCAGAGCACTTCTANCTAATGTAAATATGTAATTTTTACTTTCAGTTAAAAGAATAATTACTGTAACTTAAAATTTCGCCTTATACGCTCTACTAAAAATATCTCTATATTAATTAAACTAGCTTGCACTCGTGACTTTGTCCACGTAGATTTSTTAATGTAAAAAAGGGAATGTAAAGTTAGTCTGTTTATCTATTTTTTTTTTGATTCACCAACTCAAATCAACGCGGTAGCAGAGAGCCGATTATTAAGAAAATATCGAAAGCACAAACGTTTACACCCTATTTCACCTTGTTAATGGTTGATTTTCAAAAAGTGTCTTCTCAGAGCACTTCTACACCCTCAAATTCTACATTTTATGATTATAAAATTGCGTTTAAATGTTTGCACCCTATCTCATCCCGTTAAAAGTTGGTTTTTGAAAAGTGCCCGATTAGTGCACTTCWACACTCTCTAAGAAAAATATTTTCCAAATTTCTTGTTTCTATTTCCGTTTAAAAATGTACACCCAATTTCACCCCCTTAGAAATTTATTTTTGAAAAATTTCGTCTTAGTGCACCTTTACAAACGGTAAGAACATTTCTTTCAAATTTTATATTTCTATGTTTGTTTAAAGGTTCACACCCTGTTTCACCCCCTTAGAAACAGGTTTTTGAAAAATCCATTTTTGGCAGACCTCTACAACCTATAAAAAAACATATAGGTGTCCGGAAAATCGCGCACCACCCTTAAAGGGAGTAATTGGATAGTCCTCCAGAGTACAAAAAAATGTTTAAAAAATTCGATCTGTCAAAAAATTTTGACATTTGATATTTTTTATGTCTATTTAATGATACTGATGATCTTGTATATGTTTTCTTTATAATTATTTAGTAAATGTACAAAAATTTTGCCAATGAAAGCCACAAATAACATTAAACAGAGTTACAATTTAGGATACAGTTTTCTTGTTTCCTCTTCCAATAGCCTGTAGCAAAAAACTTGGAAAATTATTTTCCAACAGAAATAAGAGTCAAAGTGCAAAATTTAAACTCTCATAACTTCGAAATTTTTATAAATAGAATTAAAAAAATCCATGTTTCTGGTATCTTACATTACATTTTTCTCTGGGGCGCGAGTTCTGGCGCATTCTGATATGCAACATTTAACATCTTTTTTTATAACAAATAATCAATTTACTACAAGTTCTGTGAACTAGAAAGATGTTATCTCAAATCTGGTTTTAATATTTTGTCGGAAAAATTATTACTAACAAAYCATTCCAACTCTAGCTATGAGTCATCGCTAACAAGTCAAACTTAAAATACAAACATTTTCGCATAATAGATATTATGTTTCACCGATATGACCTATGATGAATACCTGTCGACACGATTGTTTTTCTGATTCAGACCAAACAAATTGTAAATAATGAATCAACCCCTTTTGACTTTGATGCTTTCAAACCTTTTCACYCACTAATTTCTTTATCGACATGCTCTTGAACTTTAAAAGGTAAAATCAACCAATCCAAAATTAATAGACACAAAATCAATCCACTATAAAAATTTTATTACAAAAATTATTACACCATTATTGTTATATACACATCATTTTACGAGCCATCTTATAAATAAACAATGAACACCTGACGTGGAGATTAACCTAGAACTAGAATACAAAAATTCTTCAGCTGAACATTTTTTCGGCACAATAGTGCGGGAATTGCACTCCTTGTAGCAAAAGATCTGAGATTTCCTACAATACCAATAAGAAGTTTAATCAGGTGTGGACGCGCAGAGTTTACTTACGGTTAACGGTTTTATACAGACGCTTAGCGGATGGACAATGATGTAGAAACCAGCGCAGATTGCCGCCACCCAAAACGAGATGAAGATCAACACCAGCAGCCACAAGATCAAATTAACCGGATTGGCCATCTAGCAAATTCTTAAGTAAAAGCGGAAAAAAACGGCGGTTAACTTACCTTGAGATAGGATTCACGCGGTTGTTCGTAAAGACGATTTCAAATGACTGAGAAACTGGGCGTAACTGACGATGTTTACGAATGGAATAAACTTTCCAACTTCGGAACAGTGTAGGCAGTACCGTAAGTTATTTAAAGGTACGACCTATTTTTATTTACTACGCGTTGGTCTATCGGCGTCTCGTTTCAACCGTCTCTGACTTGATTTATAAACTCATATTTACTCGTTTTAAACATGCTGCGATAAGATAAAGCGAGATTTTTATTGTTTTTCGAAGATTTTGCGACAGAAGTGGGGCGGAAAATTTCACCAGTGCCTTTTTTGGCGGAATTTGAGAAATACAACTAAACGCAACTTTCCTATATTTCGCAATTATCGGTACTTATGGTGTAATTTAATTAGGACTATTTTGGTCTCTCTGTTTGTTTTTCCATTTAGTGTTATCTTCGAACTTTCTATTGTGGTCCAGTGTAATTTTTGACTATTGACATRTTTAATCTCYTTCAAATAWACTGGGGTTGATTAAAGGACTTTGATGCCCCCGAAAATGTCAAAGTTTTTGTTTCTGTGTTATGCAAATATAGAATTTGGATAATTTATCGTCTGTTGTTTAGTTAATTATCGGTACTGTTAATGTAATTAAAAACACGCATTTTTACGATAAGATTAATACCATTATTACTTACGTATTAAAGTGACGTTGTTTCTAATAATATGAAGTGTTGGATTAAAGTTAAAAAATCATTTTCTGAGCGAATAGTTGATCAAAACTAGTTATCTCGATATCAGATAACTACATTTTTTTTAATAAATATTAATTTAGTCAAAAATCRCACGTTTCTATTTACTTCAAAATAATTAAAAGAGAAAACAAAAATATTTATTCAAGAAATGAGTGTATCAGGGTGTTGTTTCGTTTTATACTTCCTGTATTTTTGATAAAAGTGATACATAATAACTGTTGTGGTAATGTTATTACGTATTTCTGTACAGAATAATATTCCTTGGTCTCTCAGCTAATCAGAGTGTCACTTTATTTTGTCTATTTTAACCTGACGTTTATTTATATTAAAACACCTGGCTTGTTTGTCGAAAGCAAATTATAATTGTGACAGTATCTTTTGTGTTAGACAACTAAAAACAAGAATGTGGAAGGTCAAGAATATCATTTAGAAACAAATTTATCTCAAGAACGTTCATTTGACCCTGGCCATCAAATTTTGTAATAAATTAATGAATTTTGTGATTATAATCATATAAAACGAGCTTTTAATTTTACATAGAATTTTAGAAAAAAATATTTTTGTAATATGAATGTTTGTAAAATATAAAAAATTAGATTAAAATCAAGTGAGCCCAATTGCTTTAATTAAGCTTTAAAACAATAATTCCATTTGATTTTAACAACTGTACAGGAAGGAACGAAGTAATATATGTATACCTAGTAAAAGACTTTTATTGCTGACAAATGTTAGGTGTTTGTTTTTTCTTGTCAGTGAATAAAAGCAGTTTATAAAATAAAATTTTTCTACATATGTCTGCATCGGTTGGGTAGGGAAAAGGTATAAATATTCGTAAACTGCAGTAAGCAATTCATCATTATTCTGTGTTAGAGAAAATAAGTATGTTGTTGCATGCTTATGCATACTATTACTGTTGTAATGGGAAATAATAAGAGGAATGAAAGAATATTGCTATTGTCTCACTCTTTTATGTTGAAGCAAAATTTTTCAATGTCAAGAAACTAAAGGTGAACATCAAAAATGTTGCAATAAAATTACAGTTACGGAAAGGCAACGTTTTAATTTATTAATAAATCTTATTCACAGGTTACAAATTGATGAAAACTGGAAATTTRAAAGCAAATAAATCWWAATAATTGATATAGGGTRACTCATTGATAATTGTGCAGAAATACAGAGGTCTAAAGAAGTTCTCTATGTTTTACGTAGACTTTAGAAATGAGTTAGTTACTTGGTGAATAAAGTAGGAACTACTCACAGATAATTATCCTAATTTTATCACCTCATAAAAGCTTTTGTATTTAATACATTAGGGTTAACTATTTTGAGCAGATTAGTCACGTGTATGAATCAAATTTGTAATAAACAGTTGTTGAATATGATAAGAAAACTAATTATTTATACATATGTATGTATGTATGTTTTTTTTAGGGTCTAAGTGGTTCTCAAATTTAAACAAATGGTAATATCAAAAAAAGCTTTAAGAGCAAAGTGAAAACTACTTTAAACTACTTCTACAGATCATTAAAATTTAAAATGATTGAGATATTGGGCAAATAGTTACACATAATTTTTCATATATTGTTATAGTTATAATATGTGATACGAACTTTTGCATTAGGCGCTTGAAAATTGCCAATGAGAAACCGCTATTYAAATAGTGCGGTCTATGTGGGCGGGTTTATCACTTTATCTGTTGGGCGAAACTGGTACATGTAGTAATATGCTGCCGCCTGCTCATTTAAAAAAAAATGTTGTCATCCTGACTTATAGTTCTTCGTTGACTTGGCCCTTTGATCTTCTAGCAATGATTACAGTTTAAAGTTTATGTTATTTTTTTTCAATTGTCAGTAGTTTAGATTTACAAGCCAATCAGAGCTTTAAACAAATAACCCCCATTGTYTTAAAATACTGATCTAAAATTTTACGATGTTGGTGAGTCAAATACTATAATGCTTCTTTTGAATTCTTTAAGAAAATTAAATACTTATGTAAAGAATTTAAAATTTGATAGTTATTTTTACTTAAATCATATTTTGTAATATTTTTTGTTTGATACMATTTCGAATCGTATTTTTACTTTTTTTACATTATTTTCTCAATTATTAAAAAAATTTTTTTACGTGTATTTATTTTTACATTTAAGTTTGTATAACTTTGAACAGTAATTCACATTCTTCTGCTCATTATAAATGAACTGCTAATTTGAGTTTGGAAAGAATTCAAAATTTATACAAAGTTATTGTTAAGTGGTGTTTTAGAATTAAWATACCTAATACGTATACCTGTAGATACGTAAAATATTCAAACATTGAATTTGTTACACATTTKATATAACAAACAATTTGTATTTCCGTTAAAATTGTAGTACTAACCTTATTGAAGGACAAACAATCKACTCAATTTAGTAATATAGTTGCAACAATAAACGCGTTTCAATGTTAACATGGACTTACAAAAGTGTTACTTTAGCATGATTTACCCAATCTTTTAAGCTAAGGTTAAACACGGTATGTGTGCATACTTAACGGTTGTTTYTATTTATAGACGTGAAGTACTTTTTAAAGATTTTCTTTGATTACGAAATTTATTTCTTATGTGAGAACGTTCACGATGTAATATTTATATTCTTTTTGGAGTAATAMAACTTTTTGCAACATCTGTGAAAAAAATTACTAAATAACATATATKTTTTCAGGGCCTCAGTCAAGATACTCTTTCTTTTCTCCCTTTCCATAGTTGGCCTCAGGGCTCAGTACAACACACCATCCTACGATCGAAATCGTACTGATAACCAGTATGACCCCTACAACTCACAATATGATCGTCAACCACCGTACGATCGTCAAAACCCGCCATACGACCGCCAAAACGCACCATATGATCGCCAAAATCCGCCATATGACCGACGCAATCCWCCTTATGGACAGCCATACGACCGTAATGATCGCTACAATGCGCCGCCATATGACCGAAAYCAACCATACAACCAGTCACAGTATGGACGGCAAAATCAAAGTCATTATGGCCCACAAGGCCCTCCATATGACAATCGCGATCCCTACAATCGTGATCGTTTRGATAACCGTGATCAATACTCTGTAGGAAACCGTGATCAGTATGGCAATCGCGATCGCGATCAGTATGGTAATCGTGATCAGTATGGAGGAAATCGCGATCAATATGGAAATCGGGACCAGTATGGAGGAAATCGGGACCAGTATGGTGGAAATCGTGACCAGTATGGAGGCAATCGGGATCAATATGGAGGCAATCGAGATCAATATGGAGGAAACAGGGATCAATATGGGAATCGAGACCAATATGGAGGCAATCGGGATCAGCATGGAGGTGGCAGGGATCCGTATTCTGATCGTGATCGTGACCGTGATCGTTATGATAGTGATGGTGATCGTGATCGTTACGGTTCACCTTTATTTGAAACAAACTCTGATTGTTGTACTGAATATTGTTACTCAAAGGATCAGAATCAGTATGTGCAATTTGCAACCAAAACGGCGTATCAGATTGCTTTTTCCAAATCATCCAATCAACAACATAGGATACCAGGTGGGTGTTTTTAGCCTTTAGTTTTTGTCACGCTTTAGAAAATTGTTGAATCCTACTTCATAATTGTTCATATTATATCGGACCTAATACATAAATGTTATTTATTTACTGTTAAAAAAGTTAGTTTCGTAGCAACAGTTAGTTCTCAAGGAATAAATGACATAAAATGAATCATTTTCTTTCATATCGTGAATTTTTATATCATTTTTTTTAATTTTGACTTCAAGACTGCAAACACTCTGTATACAGTGTGGAGTGATATAATAATACAGCAGTATTAAGATTTTTTTTAATCTAAGTTTTTTGGCAACTGAGCTTTATAAAGGTTCAGGCATTTTATTTAGTTAGAGTAACTGCGCATTATGAAGCAACATTTGTCATACAGTATAATTAATTTATCATGTTTCCAACTTRCAGTGAGTTTGTTTATTTTATTAGCAAGAACATGTCAAACATAAACATTATTGGGATTATTTTGTACGTATAGTAGTTTAAAACAGTTATTCTTTAGAATTTTTTTACCAAATTGTAATGTTGAAATCTGTAATAAGCTGAGAAGCGTTTACATGTAATGCTGCAGAACTTGTTTAAAAAAATGCATTTGACCTACTTCAATCAGCATTCCAATATACACTATTTTTCTATACTTTCTCTATCTTTTTTGTGTACCAGTGTGCTACAGGCTGATTCATCTAAAACTACGAGCCTGACAGACCGTGAATACAACCACTACTCATTGCTAATTTGATTTAGAAAAATGAATAATTTAACGTGTTAAAAAATATCATTGTCAGATTGAAAATAGTMATTTTTTAAAGATAAATTGTAAAAATTTGAATTTTGAATCTATATACTAATTTGCGGAAATTGTATTTAAAGCTAGTGAAGCTTGTAATGTTATGTTTTGTTTTGTTTTAATTTGGACKCAAAGCTATCCATGAAAGTTCGATTGTGAAYGAACCATCGTATTGAAGTTATTAATCTGACATTTGACACCTYGCCGGACGTATTAAAAATTGTGGTCCGTTCACAACACMCTCATATCCACCGCCAACTATRACGCCAAAGTCAAATAAACACCTGTGATAAATCAGTCTCTAAATACGGGGTGATTTAAAAGTCTTGAACAATAATTYATATGGTGATTGCGATGAAGATGTTAATAAAAGCTCAGCTTTGCTTTTATAATTTTTCTAGGTCGCGTGGTTTTGAAAATATGAATGTTTAAGGATAGCACAAATTGGCATAGTAGCAGTTCATTTTGAACAACTTGTGCTTGTACTCAATAATTTGAGACGTTTGTTACTAAAAAAATCAACAACATTTTTGATGTGCTATTGCCAACTTTACCCCTTCAAAAAATCTCTACATTTGCCAAGAGTTTTTACTTATTACTTTTAAAATTTAATTTGTAAAATTAARATAAGACATATCTAATTTATTAGTTTTTCGGAGAAGTAGTACCCTTACAAGAAGTAATTATTTTTTATATTAAGCAGTAGTGACATTGCATTTTGCATTTACAAACTTCGTTGTTAAGTGGAAAAAAAATACATTTAAAAAGAAAATAAAATTTATGTTTTTAAATAGCGTTCTTAAAAAACGTGAAAATTAAAAATAATACTTACGTTTAAGTAAGTATATTCTTCTTATAATAATACATATAATTTTTTGTCTATGTTAGATTCCCAGCTGTTGGTCTAAATATATATATTTATAAATACTAAAATGAGAAATATGCAGCATTATTACCTCCATATGGGAAACATTAAGTATGTCCTCAAGGAAGTTACATAAGCATAAATTATAATTATTTTATAAATCATTTATAAAATTGCAGTAGAAATATCCTGCTATGAATTTAATCAGTTTTGCTGTGGATTTGTGTGAATAATTAGAAAGATATTTCATTTTTATAATTAAGAAGGTTACTAATAACATGATTTTTAAGCCCGATATTGTCTCTGAAACACTATTTTATTAACAGGAGTATTAAAAAAAAATAAACAAATTATAAAACTTGTGAGGTAATGTTGAAGATGCCAAGCAAATCCACCTGTATTAAGWTGTAATTTTGTAAGATTCAACATAATTTTCCATTCCAACAATCACATAGGTGATGGTAACCGAGGCCACATACTTGAGACCAACTAATGCCATTATTGCGTGGTTTAATAAGAAATTATTAAATTACTCCATGACTCAAACTCTAGACATTCAATTAACACTTATTAAGGTTGAAGATCAATTCAAATAACCCGAAACTAAAACAAAGTTAAGGCAGCGGCGTTTTGTAATTGTTTTAGACTGCACACCCATCCAATTTTGGAGCATCAATAGACACGGTACGAGATATCCCAGTGCAAGAACCATCGAACGATTGAGACAGCTGTATAAAATTCAACGAGAAATAGTGCGCAACTATCAGGAAAGAAATTCTTATCCTAATAGTGGTCGTCTTTGTCCCGAAGATTTGGATCTCATTAAAGGGTAAAACTTAAGGTTGTATTTTCCGGATTTGTTATTTTTTTGTCCAACAGCTGGCGCTGGAATGAAACTGTCAATGAACGCAATGCCAACGCCTTGACTTACCAAGGAGTAACAGATATGAAATTCTTGGCGCGCCGTTACGCTACGAAGTTCGACGAATTGTTGAGAGAACCCTACAACGAAATGACCTACAGTGTAAGCTAAGAATTTGTAGATGGCGCTTGATGTCTATATCTTGTTTTTTGTGTTTCCAGTTTCAATATACTGACACTGATAGGACCCATGATAGCTATCAGGCTTACATCGAAGGGCTTTTCAAAGAAAAAGCTTATCAGGTTCATGCTAATGTTTTTAATAATGATAGACTTATCAAGGTAAGAAAAACAAACATTACAGGCTAATATTTCACTTAATTGATAAAGCAAAACATTCAGTTAAAAATAAAAACTATTTTGTTTTTAAATGATGACGTTTAGTTCTATTACGTTCTATTAATAAGTAAGATATTAATCTGGAAGTTTTAGATGAAACCTCCTGTATAAATTAAAATAAATAGTCGAATAAAATGCTGAATCATCAAAACATAGCTATAAGATAGTTTAGCTCATAATGTGAGGCATTATCTTTAAACACAATTATTATTTAGTGCTTCAAATTGTTCCAGTGTTAGCGAACCATTTAGAGGAAACCTATGATTTTGAATAACAAAAATGATGCTTCTGTCCTCACTCTGGACAAAATTGTCCACTGCGCACCAGCAACTCAGGGTTTTTCTTATTCTAGACAACCTGTTGAACATAAAGTTCATTGAAGCACTGAAAAAGTATTAAATTCAAGTTGAGTGCTTAGAAATTTCCGCTGTTCTCTTATTTTATTTACAATATTTTTATGCCAACATTTAAATACGAAGCATTAAATTATATCCCAATCTCACGATGAGTGCTGCAAAAATATCATATCTATATATGTACAGGATGTCCCTAGTTTTAGGGCTGGCGCAAAAGTAAATATTTCAATTTGATTTAAAAAAAATTTTGCTAGTGCAAACGATAGAAGATATAGACTTCAATTTGATATTTTAATATTGTTCATAATTTTTTGCGTATGTCAGTGAGATACTAAAAACCAAATTTGTAAAAAAAATATTTAATTAGAATCTTTTCTACATGATAAAATTCCTTGCTTTTTTCTAATGGTGATTGTGAAAATTGAATAATGTAAAAGTTGATAGATTTTGAGTAATTAACATTTTAATATTGATAATTGGGAATTCATTTATGGCTATGTTTGGGATGATGTGCTGCTAATGCATTGTCAATAGAGCGGAGGCTTCAAAATAGAGCCTTGGTATAGTTCTAGAAATTTTCTTCTTCTAGAAATAAGTGAGAACAGAGTCAATTGCTTTAGAGCTGGGTATCAATTCCTAATCATAAACTGTTTAAAACCCGTTGCAACAGGTCAAAATGTTGCGATTTCTTGGAAGCAGAGACGGACTCAGGAAATTGTTCGAGTCGAGAAAACTGTTATTTAAAAGAAAATACGCTGCAACCAATAAAAAAAAACATTTTTATTAAAAGCTGCACAGAAAAAGAAACCGCAGCATTTAACATTAGCTATTGAATAGCTTAGTTTTCATACATAAAGCTTTGTATAAAGTAAATACGGCCCTGGAAACCAGCCCAGCTGACTAAGTTCGGAGATATTTTTATTGGGGGTTAAAACCGCCGGTAGCCGTCTGTGGGTTTACCAAGGATAATTACATCCATAAAGCAATTGACTCTGTTCTCACTTATTTCTAGAAGAACTATATGTCATAAATGTCATTGCGAACCTTTTTCTTTTGTCACGAAATTCTGGCCTGATCACCAATTACCGCAAACCCGCTCAGAAATTATTCCAAGTTTTAGATTTTCAATATTAAAATCTTAATAATTTTAAATTTATCAAGTTTATCATTATTTTATTTTCACAAATACCACAGATAAAAATCAAAGAATTTTATCATGTAGAAAATATTCCAGTTAATTGATTATTTTTTTCTCCAAATTTAATTTTTAAGGTTTTACTGTTATATGCTAAAAATTTACACAATATCAAAACATCACATTAAAGTGTATTTAATTCTCTATCGTTTATACCGTCGTCTGCGTTGATTGACAGTAATAATAGTCTGGGCAATGCCAAAAAATGGCCGTTGGGGGAGCGACGAGTTTGCAGTCTAATGGAATCTGTATATTTTGGTTTGAAACCTTGATAAATTTTTGTATACAAAAATTTACTTTTGTGTTTTATGGGTTGTATAATTATTTTTTGTTGATTGCAATTTTTTCTAAAACTAGACCAAAAACATCAAAAATTAAAACATTTTATACACAAATATAATTTTATTTATTAAAAAAATAAAGATTTACATTTGGGTTATATAGTTATTTTTATTCTTTACAAATTTACAAGAGCATTAACATATTACAATAACTTTTTATTATTTCTTCAAAACTTTGAATAAAAAACACTAGGATTAATTATATTTTCTATTATTTTTCTATTTGGACCTTGGTTTTCAGCTCTGTTTGTCCTAACATTTTAAAATGTGCAACATTTGATTTATGATTGTCACTTACCAATCTCAAGATTTTGAAGCCACGTTCATGTACCTGTTTTATTACATTTATGTTCATATTAAAAAACTGTTCAGTCGAAAGTGTTTTATGAAAAAAGTATCCAACGGGAATAGAGTATTTGGTAGACAATCCATGAATAACGAAGCACAACAGTTTATTGGCTAAAATGGGCTTTTTTCCTATTATTTCGTTCTCAATTTTTGCAATGCCGTAAAATGTATCTTCTGTTCGACTATACTCCATTTTTTCTTTAATGACCATGTCATCTATAATAAGAGAATATATTTTCTCAACGTCTTTTAAATTATTGCCTTCAGCAGTTATTCTGTTTTTAATGAAATTAGTCAAGCCTGGATCCCCTTGAGAATTTCCCATATATCTGTCTAAAGTTCTTCTGGATGGAGCTTTTAAAAAATGACTTGCAAATTCATAACCTTTTGAAGAAATATAACTCCAGGCAGTACAATGACGTACTGTAACTTCAGACCATCTTGGGTTTTTTAGGGAATAATTATAAATTTGATCAGGTAAAAACACAGCCCTTGGTTTTAAGTCCTTTGCATCTGACTCAATTTTCACTACACAATGTTGACCTTTACTGTAATTGTCAATTTTTTCCTGCATTCTCTTTAGTTTTTCAAGTTTATTTTCATACAGCTTATTCAACTTTTGAAATCTTACATTTACTTCCTGTAACTTTTTTTCTAAATTTTGAATTTTATCTAGTAAGACAAATTTTTCTGCCGAACTTATTGCATCTGAAACATTTTTTAAATCAAAATCATGAGTATCACTTAAATCGCTTAGTTGATCAAAATCAAATCGAAATGGGCTTGAAATTATATAATTTTTGTCAAATGACTCTGGAGATTGGAGACACGGTGCAGACGATTCTAACGGCTTACGTTCTGAATTAATGGAAGTGGTATAAATTACCTGAAAACGAGTAATTCTTTTATAATTCAAGAGCAAGGATGAAACTGCATTTGGTAACATTTTTTTGTTTTTATAATAGCCCGTTATTTCAAAGTGTTTTTCACAAATCACGGAATTTGGGGGTACATTGCCGATGGTACCAAGTATTCTCCTAAGCCATTCGTTTTTTTGATTTCTACTTTTTGGAAATTGATGTAAAATAACACCCTCTTTCTCCGCTTGCCCACAGTTTGGAACACAGCAAGTTCGGATACATGGCATTTTAAAAATTATAATGTAACGTCTGAAAGATATTGATACTGCGCTTTTTAAGCTGAAAAAATGTATTAGTTGTGTGACAGATCAATATTTTTTTATTAAACGTGTCAACAATTGTGACATTTAATTTCCTGCAAATTTTCAAATTTCACAAATTACAGTTTCCTTTGGAGGGTAACGCGAGCGTCATCTACCGGAATTTACGATTTTGACAAGTTTACGATTTTGGCCTATTGCCCAGACTTTATTTACTGTCAATCAACGCAGACGACGGTTTATACTATCAAAATTATTTTTTAATTAATTAGAAATATTTATTTTTGCGCCGGCCCTAAAATTTGAGACAGCCTGTATATAGCTCTTTTGTAAATGATCTGCTAATACTGCTACATGAAAAATGAAGCATTAAAAGCATTACTAAAATTGGTACCTACTATGAAGCACTGTGAAGTAGGTACTGAAAAATATTTAAAATCAAGATAGTGCGTTAAGTTTTCCTCTGTGTTTTAATTTTATTTGACAGGTTTTCACATTTTTTTTTAATTTTTTTCCCAAAGTTGATACATAAAGCACCAACGAAGCATTAATTACTGAAATGACTGACATTGTTAATGCTTCAAATTGTTTGTTTACCATACTCACCTAGATAAACATAGATAAACAATTTATGTAAATGTAAAGTAACAATTTATGAATGTTTTTTATTTTTATTTATTTCTTTGTTCAAAACTAACAAAGTAGCTCTGAGAGATGAGAAAATAAAAAACTTTGGTTTTACAGCCCACAAGATCGTGCAACGCTTGGTTAAGAGAAGTAGACCAAAATCCGCAAACATTCAACGAATACATGAAATTCAAACATAACAGAGAATACCAACAAATGGTTAGAGATGTATTCCGAAGATTAGGTTTTAGATACACACTAAACGAATCAGTTTTATCCGACATGTATGACATGTGCCGCTATGAAAAAGCTTGGTAAATTTTTAAACAAAAATTATTTATTTATAAATTAATTTTTTAAATTTAGGAATTTGGATGCTATGTCACCCTGGTGTATAGTTTTCAACAAAGATCAACTAAAACTTCTCGAATACGCCGAAGATTTAAAATACTACTACAAAAGCGGTTATGGCAATGAAGTCAACAGACAAATTGGTTGTCCTCCGGTGAAAGATCTCTACGAAAAATTCGAACGTACCGTCAATAACGGGGGAACACCTAGTGGAAATAAAGTTACAGTTTTCTTCACTCATTCGGTTACGATTCAGACATTTTTAACTGCGATGGGTATTGCAAAGGATAATCAACCGTTGACGGCGGAAAATTACTACCAGCAGCAACATCGTAAGTGGCGTACTTCGAAAATTGATCCGTTTGCGTCCAATTTGGCTGCCGTTTTGTATCAGTAAGTTTCAATTGATTCTACATGTTGTTATATCACTTTATTTATTTATTTTTTCTGTTAGATGTCGTAGCGGGGAGCGTTACCGCGTCATGTTCTTCTTGAACGAGGAACCAGTGAATTATCCAGAGTGTTCAGTCGGTCTTTGCAATTGGAGTACCGTCCAAAGTAAATTACGAGGTGTTGTAGACAATTGTAATTTAGATTTCTGCGATCGTAACGCTGCTATGGCCGTCCAATACAATTACATCATTTATTTCTCATCTCTCATCGCCATTTTTCTTAGTCTTAAAATTTAAATGTTAATTAAGTTAGTACAAAGTTACTGCTGTTACTTATTTTGTATATTTTATTGTTGATATCATACTGTACAAAAGTGGATAGAACCCGCCATTTGCTCGTAATTGGTGCCAGTTTGAAATGAAATTTCTTGAGGCAAAAATGTGTGTAGTTTTAGAAATAATGAATATAGAGTTTTTTAAAACAATGGTTTATTATCACATGGAAATGTGAAATTATTACATAATATGTACATCATTCAAATTAAAAACTTATCGCTAAAAATATACACTTCTTCGAATTTTTGGCATTAGGTATATTACAAAAACAAATTTTAGAACATGATCGCTTTATTTGTTGAATCGTAAAAACTGTGCAAGGTTCAAATTTCTTCCATTGGAAATAATACAACGGTACTCTAGAGACCCTAAACTAAACGTGAGTGCTTTGCCAAAAAAGTTCCATCGATGTGCACTTCACTTCGCTTTAAGTGTCTTAAAAGACCAAGTCTTGGACTACATTGCGGTTTTTACAAAAGGAAAAAGTCTCAGTTATTGTTGGATTGTCCGTAGTCAAGACTTGAGCTTTTAGTTTGTATTTTTCGTTAAAGGTTTATTAAGGCTTTGGTTTCGTAAAATTGAACTTTAGTCGTCGCTGCAACAGTATCTACAACATCTCCTGCATAAACAGACACAAAAACAACACAGGAGGAGTAACACTGATACTGCCGCAGCCCCCACATAAATCCAATTGATTTCGGGGCTGTGTTCAGACACGCACAGCTCGGCAGATTCATCACTGAAGGTTGTACCTGAAAAAAAAATAAACATTTTAGTACCATAGCCCAGTCAAATTAGACAAATCAGTGGAAAAAAGTCCTATAGAGTTGGAATTTTTTTTAAACGCTTTCTTTACACTTGGGTAGACATATATCAAAAGTCCCCGAGGGTGGGGGGCGAGCTCGAGGAGGGTGAGGGTGTTAAAGGTGTCTTTTTTTTTTGGTTTTTTGCTTATATCTCGGAAATTATCACTCCTGTAGGATAATCTTCTAATCACAATTAAAGCTTACAAAATTTCCTACAAGAATGGTCCTTTGCATTTTTGTTGTAGAACTAACCGTAAGCGAGTTATAGGGCAGACAAAAAACATCATTTAAAAAAATGTGCTTTATCTGCATTTAAAACAGAATTAGTCTTGTAATTTAAGAAAAACTGACAGTAAATTGAATTTACTGGGTCCAATACTTTATTAAAGGAAGGGGGAGTCACGAGGGTCTATAAATACAAACTCATCGTTTATGTAATTTATGCAGAATTTTCTGTAGAAGTCTATTTCTGCATCAAAATTTCAAAAAAAAATGGTCCTATTCATTTTTGTCGTAGGACTAAGCGTAGGCTTCTCAAGTTTGGAGTCTACATAAAATTGCATTAAAAATCCTTTGAAACACATTTCATTAGGATATGGTAAGTATTTATATGTGTAGAGCGTTCCCCAACTAAGCTGGTCTGCCTGAAAGGTGACTCGGGTGTACACATTTAAACGGAGATATAAATAAAAATTTTGGATGAAAGAGAGAATCAATCTGTAAGGGGGTAAATGGGGTGTAAATGTTTAAACAAAGATATAAACATAAAATTCTTTAGAGGTGTAAAGGGGCACTAAAATCAGATTTTTTGAAAATTAGTTTTTAAGTGAATAAAACGGTATACACATTTAAAGGGATATAAAAATATGAAATTTAGAAAATATGATCCTTAGAAAGTGTAGAAGTGCACTTTTCAAATTTTAACGAAATAAAATAGAGATTAACGCTTAAAAACAAAATTAGAAACATGTCGCACTGAGGCGACACTTTATGAAAATCAACATTTAATATTTACCCATAAACATAGCCCATGCGAAGAACGAGACTAGTATCACTGAATCCTATACATAATATAGGTAATTATCTAGCTTTATAGAGTACCTAAGCCTATGGAATGGTTTTGTGAACCGGCTTTTCCCATTTTATATCAGAAATACACGCGGACAAAGTCGCAGACAAATGCTAGTTCAGCATATAAGGATGACTCGGAAGACTTGATAGACCCTCGTGGCACCTTCTAATAAACTGTTGGATCCAATACATTCAATTGACTGTAAGCTTTATTCAAATCAACGATATTAACTCATCTATTTATTAATATTGTACTGAACATGACTGTAATTCGGTTTTCAATGTTTAAGTTGAAGACGAAAATACAGCATATGAGGACGACTCGGAAGACTTTATAGACTCTCTAATGAAGTGCTGCACCCAATAAATTCAATTTGCTTTCAGTTTTTTCAAATCACAAGATTAATTCTGTTTTAAATGCGGATAAAGCACATTTTTTTAAATGAGGTGTTTTGTCAGCTCTGTAACACGCTTACAGTTAGTCCTACAACAAAAATGCAAAAGACCATTTTTGTAGGTAATTTTGTAGGCTTTAATTTTGATAAGCAGGCAAGAACCGTTAGGAGTAATAGTTTCCGAGATATAAGCAAAAAACAAAAAAAGACACTTTTTGCCCCCTCTCCCTCCTCGAGCTCGCCCCCCACCTTCGGAGACTTTTGATATATGTTTACCTAAGAATAAAGAAAGCGATTAAAAAAAATTCCAACTCTCTAGGATTTTTTTCCACCGATCGCCCTATTTTTGTCTAATTGGTCTAGGCTATATTATTTTGTTAAGCTCTAAAAGATAGACCTCTTGACAAAAAATAACTATTTTACTCAACTAAATCATCATAAATACGTGGATTAAGGTGTTAAAATTTTCACTTAATTTTGGAAAGACTTTTATCGAAGTTAATTCTAAAACAATAGTTTAACGTCTCCAAATAACATTTTGTATAACCCTGAAAACCTGTGATAAACTAAGTCAGAACACCTTTAGAACTTTTAGAAACATTGGTGCCAATGCTGGTACTTTCGAGCGTCTTTTGTTGTATTGAACTGGTTAGTCCAATAGATTCAGTTCCTAATAAATTACGTTATTAACATCTTGAAATTACAAAAACAATATATGTCAAATATGAATGTCATTGTCGCCCAACAGATAAGAGGGTGACTAAATTTGGTAATACTGTTCTTTTTAATATAGCCGCCCCTGTTTTTGCATCTTCAGCTACTTTTAACACAATTTTTTTTCTTTTTTCTTGGAATCGGAACCACTTTTAAGAACAGATTTTTGCTTGTGGCAATTTTTATTGACAATTAACAATTTAACAGTAATAGTTTCCGAGATATAAGCAAAAAACAAAAAAAGACACTTTTAGCCCCCTCTCCCTCCTCGAGCTCGCCCCCCACCTTTGGGGACTTTTGATATATGTCTACCCAAGAATAAAGAAAGCGTTTAAAAAAAATTCCAACTTTTTAGGATTTTTTTCCACCGATCGCCCTATTTTTGTCTAATTTGACTAGACTACTACTCCTACTACTTCTACTACTACTACTACTTCTACTACTTCTACTACTACTACTACTCCTACTACTACTACTCTTACTACTACTACTACTCCTTTGTAACAGAACTAATCAGCGTGTAAAGCTCTAATTTAAGTAAATAGGTGTTAATCAATAAATCGCACCCACCTTTGTGATCTGTAACATTCGGGCAATTAATCACTCCATTACAAACAAGTCCCGCAGCTATACACAACCCTGCCTCTCCCGGACACATAAACGCGCATCCTTCATCATCTTCAACGTTCCCTCCACCCGTGAGCCTCGAAGACATCAGACTTCCATCTTGATTTCTCGGCAAATGGAACAACTCCGTCCACGCTATAGTAAAAGCAGCTCTCGTTGGTGATGTTCTTCCGATGAACTGGATTGTGACTCCCGGTTCAGTTCCATCAGGACTCAATTCAGCTGCCGACAACACTGGCAGTTCTTTTACGAGCGATACGTTCTCGCCACAGATCGATAAATAAGGTTCTAGACGACCTTTGAGGAAAATGTCGACGATGCCATCGTCACAAGCCTTTGAAGAGAATTTGATTCGGTCGAAGTGCAACCAAAGATCGCGTTCTCGATTTACTTTAATCTCCCATATACAGCGAATTGATTTGGGAGGTTCCACATAGCCGATGGCTTCATAGTAGGGGTAATGGATTTCACCTGTTCAGTAAAATTATTAGCCTTTTTTTAATTTACGTGGAGGATTCAGAAGTTAATCAGTGTAAGTCTGATCATGTAAAATGAGATAATGAAGTATTTAAAAAAATGTACAAAAAAAAAACGTTGCAAAAGTGAAAAACAAAATCTTTATCGAAAGAGAATTAATAATACTTAAGGGCAAGAGACGAAATTTTTGAACCACCAGACGGCGCCACCGTCGACGAATCGAAAAAATGTGTACCAAGTTTACGTAGACAAAGTTGTAAATAGCCAATAGTACAGTGAGTGTATTAGAGAGAGAGTGAGGACACGGATGGCGCCTTTTTCTTATTAGTCAGYCTGTTAAAGGCGGATTGGTTTAAGTTTTTTGATGCTTCCCAATACTATAGTCCATAAAAAATGTTCGAGTAAAGTCAGTCACAGGGTGCTATTAAATAAATAAATAAATGAATTTAAAAAATAGAAACAAGAACAAACATAACAGCGTGACCGATTTCATTTCATGAAAAATGTTAATAATGTTAAATAAATTTAGCTGCTTTAAGGACATATGCTTTGATTCCGCGCTCTTAAATTAGTGTCTTGTGTGCATTGCCAACTGAAAGATTTAACAATACAGAGTCTTCTAAACCACATAAATATTTTTGAGAAAAATTGTGATTTAGACTGATTGGCTTCTGAGTTCTCCAAATGTAAGTGTATGTAACGTGTTTTTATTTAAATTTGGCGACATAGTTGGCGGTGATTTGAGTGTGTTGTGAACGGACCACATTTTTAATACGCCCGACGAGTAGGTGTCAGATGTCAAATTAATATGGTTTGTTCACAATCAAACTTTCATGGATAGCTTTGACGCCAAATTTAAAAAGAACTTTAATTTACAGTGATAAAAAACATTACTTTTGAAAAGTAATTTATTACCATTACTATTATAATTACTTTTTTCAAAATGTAGTGCATTACTCATTGTGATTTTAGAAATTAAACTGAAACTATTAGGTGTTTAAAGAACTAACCTATATTTTTTTAGTACCTACGAAGCAGAATTTTTTGTAAATGTTACTA